AAGATCAGTTAAAATTTTGAAAAGAGTAATGAGATAAAAATTTTATCTGATAATTATATATCTAACTTTAAAATAATTTTTTTAATTTATTTATTTTTTATTTTATCTAGTTCTAAATTTGATCCGCTAATTTTTAAACTCAGTTAAATTTATATATAGGGGAGATATGTAGTGTATTTATATATATAAATATTTATACTTCCTTATTAATGGAAAAAATATTAATTTTTAAGTCTTTATATCTTAAGATTTTAGTAATTTATTTTTTTTATAAAGGGGTGAGGGGTGTGGCCATAGCCATACATGTTCTGGCAATAGCCAACTCATTTGTTTTCCTTGATAATTGAGTCCAAGAGACTTAATTTTGGCCTCTTCAGAGGTCGGAGACTCGTTTCTGTCTGTCTCTTCCATTTCTCTCTATAACTCTCTCTCTCTCTCCCTCTCTATCTCATTTCTATACAGTGCAAAGTTCGGGTCAATCATCAATGTCCAAATCCTAGAAGCTTTTTTGATTTTGCTGTTATTTTTCGACTCAATTCTTAAACACAAAATGCTAATAGTGCTTGAATTTCGTATAGTAGTCAAGGTTCGCTGATTACCAGGTACGTGATTGATTAACTCACGCTTTTTGATCCGTGAATTTCATATCCAATTCATTAACACGAATTTGCGTTCTCTTTCTTCCTCAAATTTTTTGAGCTTTTGATGATACTTGTTTATGAACACAGATTTTATGATCCTTCAGATTCTCGTATGATTTATGTAATTGAATATTTTGGATGTCTACAATGTGTCATTTGAATGCTTCTTCGGCTTTTGTTGAGTTGGTGGCATTCTGTTTTAAAGCTTTGACTATATCTATAGTATCGTTGAAAACTTGTAAGTTGTATGTTACCGTTGAACAGCAACTGTATATGATTCAAAAAAGTGAAGTCTGAATTGTTAATCAAGTTTCTTCTTGACAGATGCTTAAGCTCATAGTGTGTCAAGGGTTTTGTTGTTAGTCAAATTACAATGAGTTTGGAGAGTTATTTGGAAGAACTGGTTGTAACAGAACTATGTAGAAGAAGCTTAAGGTATAAATAGTGGAGCATCTATGAAAAGGGAAAAGGAGAAAATACAGATGAATGAAATTGTTCTCCTTTACTCTGTGGTCATTCTTGGTCTCTTCCAAGTCTTCTCCCCTTTATCCTAGTATATGAATCATTGACAATTTTGTTTGTAGATTCTTAATCTTGAAATTCCTTACTTTGTTTCTGATTTAAGGCTTAGTAATATATGTTTGCTGAGGGAAATGGAGTGGACCGATATATGTTTGTATTACTTGTTGAGATAGTTAAAAGAATTTGAAACATTTGTCCTTGTAATGGATAGAATAAGTTTCATTTCTTGGATGCTTCCCGTTCAAAGATTTTTTTATTTATTTGGTTGCGTATTTCCATTGACACTCTACTAGTATAAATAAGATCTGTAGCTTATAGATAATCTAGAATGGAAATAGTTTTACTCTCAGTGGAGTAGTTGCACTTTATGAATGTAAGTGAGATGGGAACTTTCTTGTTATCTCTAGCTGTTAATTCATTTAAGTTCAAAATTAAATGAGTAACTCATATTTTCTCTTGGAAAATTGTACATGGTAATTTGAACTTGAAGTAGGAAACTTGGATTTCAGTTCTGAAGTCTTTCTTCAGGCTTGTCTAGGGCTCTTGCATGGCCTGTTTGGATGACACAGAGGGGAAGGCAGGGAAGATAATGAGGCTATTTACTCTTTAGAGGAAAATAGTAATTAAGGAAGAATGGATGAAATAGAAAGAACTGAATGAAGGAAGTTAATATTTTTTTTTTGAAAGAAGAGCAAGACTAATATTTTATTGTGAGGACCAAATTATGCTCATTACACTCCCTCTCATTCACCTCTACGAAACAGAACCTAATTTTTTTTGCTAAGATGAGAATAAATCCTTGAAACAGTGACATTATATTTTCAATTCCTTTAAGTTTATGGAGTTTTCTTGCATTTATTTAATTCTTTTTTTCCTCATGAATTCTTTTGGCTTTCAAGGGACTAGTTCCATGTTTTATCTGCCAGTAGCTTAGCGGAGAGAAACTTTTTGGATGTTACTTCATTTGGATGTTTGATTTTTGTTGGTTGTTTGCTGTGATTTCTTGATCGCATCAGGTGGGCAATTAATTTGAATAATTGCCAGAAGATGCTAATTACTTTTTGGGGCAGGACTTTGTCATGTTATGCAATAATGTAATGCTGAAAAAGAGAAGTTGAGTGGTTGCAAATGTTTCATCTTATTTCCCCTTCTTACCATCTACTTATTGAATTTCCCTAGTAGCAAGCATCCAAATTAATGGACTGAAGTTTGTAAGACGAAACATGAGCACAAGTATTGTAAAAGGTTTTCAGCTTTATTCTTTCTTATTCGGTCAACTTTCCCGATCCTTGCTCCTGTGCACCTCAGAAAAGGTAGACAGAATATGAACTGTTTTAAAACTACCTAATCAAGCTTTTCTGCGGATCTGCTGAACTTTTATTTTCTTCCTTTATAATGTAATATGTTTTTTCAATTAGCTGTGGAAAGGGTAATATATTTGGCTACCTTGTGGCCAAAGCTAATGGGAACTATTCCGATCTAGTTATCTTCGAGCTTCATTGGAACTGGGAGGCAATTACTTTGTTCTTATAGGCAGTTTTCAGTTTCATGTTTGTTTTTTTCTACTGCAGTTTGATTTTCTTTTGACATTTTTTGATGGGGATGTTTTATTTTCCATATATGTCCTCTTTTCCTTTTACTCCTAATAATACTTCTTTTTTCTATTAAAAAAAGTATTTTGTTTTCGTAACGTCAGGACCTTGTTGATGTTTTGATTTTGTAATTATCTTTTACTTATTTATCTACTTTACATGGATGACATCCCTTTGGTGCCATTTAATGTATCATGGCTTTTTTCTTCTGAAAAATATATTATTTTTCCATTCATTTATAGAATAACTGAAATTATTAGTAATTAAAAAGATGGATATAAAGTGTAATCAAAACAATGAAACTAGATACATTTGTACAATGAAACATATCTACATCATAGCTTCTGGTCTTAAACTTTGTTGTACAGTTAGTCATACTTCTAACTTTTGCATGATTAAAAATGTAGTTAATCATAATTTTGAGTTTTACATGATTAAAAAATTGTGCGTAACATGTATAAGACATTTTTATTGTTTATTGCTATCATTTTCCTGTTTTTGTGGAGCATTTTGGAAATTAATATGTGGCCATAAACAAACGATGCTATTAAAGTAGATATCATTTGATCTGTCTAATAGTGCAGATAAAAAAATCCATATATTTAGATCTTTTCCATTGTCTTATTTTCATTGAGCTGACCTTTTTAACCAAGATTTTGGGACTTAACAGATCTTGACACTGAATATTTTACCAATTTGTGGAAGTGATAGCGATGCAGAATAGGAAACTCCTAAAGTAGACATATTTCATTAATAGGAGATATAAGGTAGAACCAACAAAAGAATATAAACGTTTTCTGAAGTTAACTAAAAACAGTAGGAAGATTTAATTTCTTTTTTTAAGTTTTAGAAAGTTTTATGTAAGAAAATGTTAGGATTTATTTTCTATTTCCTAATTCTTTATATTTAACTTATTTTCTTATTATTCTAAGTTTTCTAGATTTCCTATTTTTGTTATATTTTGGTGCCTATAATAAGGTATCCTAGTTTAGTTATTAAGTAGATTGTTTTTTATTATTATTCAAATATTGAGATATTGTTTTGATTATTGGGATATAACATCTCCAAGTTATTCTTAATAAAATTTTCCTAGGTTTTATTTTCAAGCTCACTTTATCCTATATCAGATAGTGACACCTCATTATGTTTGTTAGAGAGATGAAGAAAGACAATGCAACACATCATCATGTCAGCACTATTGATCCAGATATCTTTGTTTCGATATCTCTACTGGATATGCATTTATATTATTGGACTTTTTAGAGGGAGACCTTTCTTAGATGGAAAGTCATTTATCTTATTAAACTTGGATGTTTAGAGAGTGGAGGATTTTCTTGATATGCTTCTTTGATTTCTATTTATGGTACGTTTAAGTTGATATTTTTTTAAACATTACTCTTCTGTGGTCCTTCGATCACTAAACTACATTTAAAAAAAGTAATTGGTGGAAGCGAGCAGTAAATCTTAAGTATCATTGAAACTAGAAGAAAGCGTGAAGAGGGAAAAATCTTTGGAAGAAGTTTCTGTCCAGAAAATCAGAATGCTTCACTTAATTGAAATCCAAAATGATATCAATTGACAAAAATAAAAAATAAAATCTGAGTGTTCTTTTAGATGTGTTTAATTTCTCATTCATTCTCATATATTTATCTTTCTTATCAAATTACCAATTTATTCTTATATATTTATCTTTCTTACTTATTTTTAATTAGAAGCACTTAGAGCTGTTACCTGGGTTAGTGAAATAAGCTTTTAATATTTGAAATATTGGTTAAGATATCTTTTTTTTTAAAAAAATAAAGATGTTTGTCAATTTTTAATTCTTGGTTCTAGGTTAATTGACTCCTGCAAATGTTTGGGTTTTCTATACGAATTTATTTACTTTGAAGTGTTTCCTTTACCATATGATAAAACCATGTCTTGATGTCATTTAAGATATAAATATAGATCCTTGATTCAAGTCCTACTTTAAGAAAACTTTCTATCTGGCAAATGTTCAATTTCTACACAATAAATTTAATTTGTGCTTCTGATAGTCCATTCTTATTAATCTTTCCTAATTTGCAGATTTATTAGGTTCATATGAAATGCTTGTTAGGAACTGTAGTGCAAGCTGTAACTTTCACATGTTAATCCGGATTCAACGGACTTCGCAATGCAATTAATGTCAAATGATAGTCGGAAAGAAGATGTTTCAGAAAGAGAACCCATTCTCTGTCAGTCTGACATTTCACTGCAATCTGAAGAATCTACATCTTCAACTGAAATTACAGCTGTTGGCGAGGAACCTGTTGTAGCTGGAGAGAATTTACAAAATCTTAATGTTGATGAAACTTGTCATCTGGTGAATGTGGACCAACCACAATGCCGTATATGCCTTGATGTTGGAGGTCTTGATTACCTATCACATTTGGTACCCTTTATTTTCCATGTTTTTTTGTCACCATTTGAGATGGTGGATTTTTGTTTCGTTGGCTTTGAAAAAGTAGAAAAAGTATTTGATGACAAAAGCCATATACCAGTGACTGCATGTGCACATGCACATGGGCATGTGTCTCTATGTGTGTGTGTGTGTTTGTGCATGTTTGTTTGAAGCTAGTAACGTGGAGAAGCATGTGTTGCGTTTTCAGGAGAAGACTTGATTGCACCTTGCCATTGCAAAGGCACTCAAAAGTATGTCCATAGGTCATGTTTAGATAACTGGCGGTCTACAAAGGTCGGTTCTTATTTCTTTTGCTGGCATCCCTTGTGCTTAATTGGAAAATCAGTGTTTTGTGGTATTTTTTCTTGGAATAATGAGATTTAGATAGTTATTTTGGTCATTCTGATTTCCCATCTGTGGTAGACATATATGATTGTATTCATCTTTGCAACAATAAATTTGTGCTTTGATTGCGGTGATTGAAACCATTTTGCTTTGTTACTATTTCAGGAAGGCTTTGCTTTTTCTCACTGTACAGAGTGCAGGGCTGTGTTCTTATTACGTGCAAATGTTCCACCTGATCGTTGGTGGTTGCGATTGAAATTCCAGTTCCTTGTTGCTAGGGATCATGCATTCATTTTTGTAATTGTTCAGCTGGTATGAATGGTCCAGTAATTCATATGCTTTCATATCTGGCAGTAATCTCTTGATTTTGATATTGTTCAGCTTGTTTTTGTTTTAATAGTAATTTTCTAATTTAGCAATATGTATATATATGTTTTTATTTTACCATCCTGAGTGGTAAGCATGTATTTCCACTATGGTTAACATGAATATTATCTCTGAACACTTGATATAGCTCAATGACGAAACTGTTACATGTCATATTTTTGTTGGTAGTTTTATAGTTCTCTTGCATGGCATCCTGCTGATATGAAAGTTTTCACAAAATTTTCATCTTATTAAAAGTTATTTTATCTTATTAACAGTAGGCCTGTCATTGCTAATGAGTTTGATTTTGGCTATTGCTCACCCCACCCCCTGCCCCCCGAAAAAGAAAAAGAAATATCTGTATCATGTTTCCTTGTTAGACTTGATAATCAATATAGGTTTTGCTTCAACAGGTTGTGGCATTCTTGGGGGTGCTGGTATACAAGTTTTATGGGGAGGAACTAAAAGAAATGTTTGGTTATGAAGAACATCCATATGCATTTTACACAATGGCCGGTACTCTAACTATCTCTACTGGACACGCAGACACACGCAGAATCTACACATACATGCACAGACAAAGGGTTGCATGCTGCATAACTTTCAAACTCTTGATGTGCCTTCGACAATTTTGTGTTGTTTTTTTTTGCCAGCCAATTTATATAAATCCATAGGATGGGTACATGTGCATAAATGCGGAAGAAAAAGAGAAGTTTGTTTTCTTGTGGTCCAAAACTTGGTGTCATTAGTAACTAAATCGTAATGCAAGTCACTGCTTAATTGATTAATTATATGTATCGTAATTGATGATAAATTTAAAAATGAGTAGCCTCGTGATAAGTATGTGAACAATGTGGTATCTTCAGAAAACGCTACATTTTCTTTCCTTGGAGAAAGGGCATAATTAATTAGCTTGCGGGTGAAAGGCCATAGCAGACAATATCTCTGATTATGGTATCTTGATTAGGCCACTTCATTCCCATCTTTTTTTTTTATAGATAAAGTCTATGAGGTTGAAAAGTTTTTCAACCATATGTACTAACTTCAATACTTAACCAAACGTAAATCTCTTGCTCAATTGACTTATCCGTGACCAAATCAAGTTTAAAAGGCTTAAAGCAGAATCCTGCAATCTTCTAACAACTGAGCACCAAATAAGAAGATAATTGGTGGATTTGTCCTCCTGCAAATGCATGGGGCAACCATGGACTATAATCTTTTTTTCTCTTCCTCAAGTTGTTCATGGCAACGATTCTTATGTAGGCTGCTTCCAAACAAGGAAAGCAATTTTGGGGGAAGCTTTGATTATCAAAGTCTCCCACTACAATATTGAAAGATTATAGTCTTTTAGCTATACTAGCTAGAAAAGCAAGGACATAAGGTGGATAGGTAGGTTAGAAATGCTTTAGATTAAGGTGGATCTACTTCCTTTAGACAAAAATCTCCTTTCCTAGCTTGGCAATCTTCTCCTGAATCTAGCAACAATAGGCTCCCAAATAGAGACATTTTCACAACCAGCACAAGAACCCAAGACTTCATGGGAAGAGAACAACTTTTTCACTCCAGAATAGCCAGCAGATTAGTAACATCCCTTCCATCTACAATAGGAACCAATTCTAAATTCGAAACATTTATTTTCAAACCAAAAACCCTCCTCACCATCACTAATAACTAGTAACTTTTAAAACACTCATCTCCTTAGCTTTGGAAATCATTTTGTTAAAACTTTCCATGGTCGTACTGAAAATAAAAGGAGACAGAGGGTCACCATATCTTGAAGTAGAAACATAATGGACTGCCATTGACCATAACTACAAAACAGGAAGAGGGGATGCAACTATTGATCCATTGACACCATATATGCAGGACAAGATTTGAGCAGAAGCCTTGCTTTGCCGTATTTGCTTTCAAGGAGGCTAAATACAACAAAATACTGGGAGGACAAGTTGATGTACAAGGATCAGAAAGAACTTCCCATCTTTAGCAAGGGCCCACAAAGGACAATCATCCAAAGAGGTCCCAACTTGACACTTAGATAGAAGCACCATCAACTCCAAAAGCTCAGCTACCTCCCTGTTCTTGAGATTTCTAGAGAGGTTAAATGTTCAAGGTAGGATAGCCATTTGTCACAACATGCAGAGAGTCACAAATAACACTTCCTTTTCCCTAGCCAAAGAAAAAGTATTGGGGAATCGAATTATCAAAGGAGCATCTCCACGCCAAGGATTATTCTGAAGCCCAGTTGACAGACCACTACCTACCTAAGCTGCACTAAGTCCAAAACAGTCTTCCAGCCTCCACTGATCTATCACTGTAAGTTGGTGCTATAGACTGCCTGCCTATCCTTACTAGTTCTCTAAATCCTTCCTTCAACAGCAAATTTGGTTTGGATCACTTCTGGACACATTTGTCGCTTGCAAGTGATGAATTTCCGAAACCACTTGGATAAAAAAGACTTGTTCATCTCCAACAAGGACCTGATTGCAAGCCTACCTTGTGGAAACTTCCTTTTTACTGGATTCTAGGACATCAAATGGTAATCTCGATGGTTATTTGAGTGACCCTGAAGAAAACGGCATTGCAAGGATTTTACATACTTTGTTACTTTAAACAGCATAAGAAAACAATAAAGTGAATAGGCAGATTGCTTAGGGTGCTCTTAATAAGAGTGAGTATAACCAGCCCACCTCTTTTCCATCATTAAGGACACTGAATTCTAAATGCCACATTCTTTGGCACCAAAGTGCCCTAATTCTATGGAGTAACTTCAACATCAAAGTTCTTTGATTATTCTCCTTTCAGGTTAACCAAAAGATAGGCAAAAGATTGGAGCTATGTGGTCCTACATCTACATTGTTTCTGCTTCATGAATTGCTAGGCAATAATTTATAACCTTCTACCTTCTCTTTAGGTAGTGTTTGTTCGTAGTATTCTACCACTTCAGTGATCTACCAACTCAACATAATAATTTTCAGTTCCATGTTTGATATTCAGAAATGGGAAACAGTACATTAAGCCTCTCAAAATGTCGTCTATACACTTACCTTCCTGTACTTTAAGATTTTATACTTGCCCTTAACTTAACACAATATATCAAATTGAGTAAGTAAGATCTAAGTGACCGTATTATTGCATCCTGATCCAAAATCATTTATGTTATTGCTATATGATATGTCTACTGTATATATCCAAGTGGATGATTAGAAGAGTGCATCACTGCCATTCGTCTTCACCACTGTTATGTTATAAGTTGAAATGCAAATTTAATGCTGTTTATTCTGTTTATCTTTTGCAGTTTTATCTATTGTCTTGGTGGGCTTGCTCTATGGGTTTTTTTATAGCAATAATATGTGGACAAAGGATCAATGAGCGGCACTATCATGTGCTGGGCCAACAAGAGCTGACTAAGTCTGGGACCTTGTGATTTTTCGTTGTGACATTATCACTATTGTTATTATTTATTTGTAA